GGGATAATATCTGTCCTTCATTTTGCATAATGAGTTATAGTTTTAAGTCTTTGATCAAGAGATTGCTATAGTCCCTAGAAACATTTGAAGTCTCACTATGAGCTATTCATCCCAAATGATGAATATTCAGATAATTACTCATTGGATAGCCTTTTCGGATGTAGAAGTTAATCCCAGGCATTCGACATTATGTTGTGTATTCCTGTGAATTTGTCTACTTTCAGATCAAGTGACTTTGGTGGCCATTTTAGAGTATTCCAGCTCATTTTAAACTACTTCTCAAACCAAAGTCCAAAGGTTTTAAGATAACAAGGTGTAGAGCTGGATGAACACAGTGTATCTCAGATTCTCCAGCATCTGCAATTCCTACTATCTCCAAAGGTTTTAAGTTAGTGAATGAGATTTTAAGAATCAATCATCCATTTTTACACCATCTTATCAACTATTTTAATACATTTCTAAATGCTACTTTATGGTGTTTATTGTTTGATACTTTTAAAAAGATCATTTATTTATAGAAATAAATATAATGCAATATAAGGAATTATTTCCTTAAATGTGCAGGGTTATGGGGGACAGGGGAAATGAAAGTGGGTGAATGACATTCGGGAACTTGCCCATTTGGAGAAACAGAACAGACATGATCGGTTGAATAGCCTCATTCTGCATTGTAATAATTCTATGGAAATTCTGCTATGACGGTTGTGATTTAGTTTTTGTTTACCAATCTAGAAGAATGGACATTACGTGTTTTGACTAGGAATGTCCTGTTGTTTTGGAAGACTATGGTACAAAATAGAGCAAAACAAAATGCACTGAAAAAGCAGATCAATGCGTTTGCAATAAACTGAGTAAATTTCTATTGATGTTAAATGAAGAATGACAGATATTGTTATGGATGATCCAAAGATGCTATATCAAAATGTCATGCTATAAGTAAGCTATCTACAGCAGAAGAACTAAGTTACATCACCAAAAAAAGAAACTGGCAGAATGTTTATTTCCATAATTTTGCACCACGTTTCCATCAAAGTTTCAACTGGGTATGATTACAAGGATTCTAACCATGCTTTGTCAAGTAACTATCCATGCTCTGTGATACTAGACAGTAATCACTGGAACTTACTTAAGTTTAGGAGGGTATTTCAGCTATTTCTAACCTGGAATACAACCAGAGTCCTCAAGTACATACTTGCAAACTTGTCGACTAGGGACTGGCTTTGGAGCCCAGGCTGATTTCCTTCCCTTTTGGAAAGCAGTTGTGTATCATTCAATATTGTGCCATTGAAGTCAATGAGAGTGTGCACATTTTAGACTTGCATTCAACTATAAATAGTTAGACCCTCTGCTGTAGTCAGCTACTCAGCCAGACTATTTATTCAATGTGGGATCTTCCTGAACTGTATACTTCTTGCAACCAGATGAGAAGGGGTGAATTTCTGACCCATTTTCAACCCCTATTGTACATGAAATGATACTCTAGTCCACTAAGCATTTGATGAAGCTTGAATTGGGTAAAGTGAAAAATACAGTCACAACCAGGCATCATAGTGGCTCAGTGGTTAGCACTGCTGCCTCACAGCGCCAGGCACCTGGGTTCAATTCCTCCCTCAGGTGACTGTCTGTGTGGAGTTTGCAAGTTCTCCCTGTGTCTGCGTGGGTTTCCTCCTGCAGTCCAAAGATGTGCAGGTTAGGTGAATGGGATGTGCTAAATTGATCATAACTCCAAGAATGTGTGGGCTACGTGGATTAGCCATGGGAAATGCAGGGATAGGGTAGGGGTGTGGGTCTGGATGGGATACTCTCTGGAGGGTCAGTGTGGACTCAATAGGCTGAATGACCTGCTTCTATACTGCAGGAATTCTATGAAACCTGGTAACCAAATAGCTTGACAATTTGGTAACATAGTTTATTATTCAGAATTGTACTGCCACAGAAACAGATCATGCAGACCAACAGGTCTGTACCACTGTTTATGATTCACAGGAGCATCCACTTGTTTTCCTGCACCTCAGCATATTCTTTCACAAATTTGAAACTATCTAGACTCTCTTTGCATTTATCTCTGCTATTGATTTTAACCATTATCTGAGTTACACAGTTCCACATTCTTATCACTTTTAGTGACGTGGTTTCTCTTCAATTTTTGACTCAATTTATTGTTGAGCATTTTGTATTCATGGATTCTCATTTTAGATTCAACCTTAAGTAGAAACTGTTGATGAAGTCAATCTGATTCAACAGCTGCACACTTTTAAAGATCCTTATCAAGCCATCCCTTAGTTATCTTTCAAGAACAAAGACCCCCAGTTTGTTGTGTCTTTCCCAGTAGTTATAATCTCACAGTTCTGGTTTCATCTTTGTAAAACAGACTGCATGTGTGAAGTGTTCACATGACATTTGATAAGTTTGTTAATTGCAAGGTCTCTACTTCCAAAATGATTAGTTCAATTACAATTGTATCTTAAAAACTGCAGTTCTTGGATTGATATTTACAGCAAATTATATTTCTGATGAAAAATCAGATTTGTAAGAACATATGCTGAAGATTTGGTCAAATCCTCCATAACAGATACCCAGCTGCTGCCGAAAAGCTTTGAGCGAATGGTTCCGAAGGGATGAGACTTCATCCATGAAGGTAAATCAAAGAAATTAGAACAGTTCTCCTTGGAGAAGAGAACATTGAGAAGAGGTTTGGCAGAGACGTTCAAAACCATGATGGAACTGGACACAGTAGGTAGGAAGAAACTGTTCCCATTGGTTGAAGGATCGAGAAACAGAAAGCACAGATTTAAGATAAAAGCAACATACTGTAGATGCTGTAAATCTGAAATGAAAACGGCAAGTTCTTTTTCTCTCTCCACTGCCAGATCTGCTGAGTTTCTCCAACACTTCCTGTTTTGTTACAGACATGATAGCTGGCGGAAGAAGCAATGGCAACATGAGGAATAACTGTTTCATACCAGCCAGTGGTTAGAGTGCACTTTCTGCGAGGGAGGTAGAGTCAGGCTCAACTGAAGCCGTCAAGAATTGATTTCATGGCTACAGAGAGAGGGGAAGGGGATAAAATGGCACAAGGGACTTGCTCCTTCAAACAGCCACGTCAGATTGGACATGATGCGTCAAATGGCCTTTGTCCAGTCTGTGACCATTCTCTGAGTCTATAATTCTAAAATCAGAGAACAGCGGCCTCTTGCAACACTTCAGCACTTAAGAAGCTTCACTGTTTCTTTCGTCTAACCGTGCAGTAAACACAGCCTGTCAAACAATAAAGCAAAAATCTTAGCCAAACTAATCCTAGCCTAACTAAGATAAAAGCAGAGCTCTCTTCCCTATTCTACTCCCTCCTCCCCAAAACTCCAAAAACTAGAAATTATTGATTTTCTTGGAAAGAAAAGCGTTTGTCTCCATCCAGGGGGATTTAGAGATTATCACTGTATCTGAAATTAAACACAAACCAACTGTTAACGTTCAAACGAATTTCAAACCGGCAGTAATTTGCTCCTTCACCCCTCTGTGATTTGTCTGGGGAAATGTGTAAGTTCCAAAATTTGGGAGGTAAACAACTCACGCCATAGAATCGGTGTCTAAGCATATTTCTGCGGGCTATAAAGCGATTAAATACCTTTATTGTAATGCTAATTATTCAGAGGTGGTGTTAACATCTGGAAAATAAAGGTGGACTTTCATCTGTACGAGTTCCCACCTTGAACTACATTAGGTTTTCTTTAATCTCCAAACTCAGCTATCGAATCCCCCTGTCGGTTTTTCACCCCCGACTTGCATATAATCAGGAGGGCGGATTATTATAAGGAGGCATTTTTAAAACCTACCTCCTGTTAGCTGCTCTCAAAACCGTGGTAGGAGAAAACTACAGTTCCGCCCAGAAAGGGTGAGCAGTGTCTGGACGGTTGAAACTGGTATCGTACCCACATTTGAGAGTGAATTGGCGGAGCCAGAAAGCAAACCGAAGGGCTATCTCTTTCTTTCACAAGGCGGAAGGAGTTCAGAGCTTCATCCCTCGCTGGATGTTCCCGGCGCTTCCATACGAAACGGTTTCTAGACACAGAAACTGCTGGGGCATTTACAAACTGTTCCATTTTCCATCTTCTGCCAGCGGATTCCCTATCAGTGTAAAACCGGCGGCACTCTTCCCAAGCCTGCTTGTGTATTTCACAGGAACCTCAGGATCTGGTGCAGCCCAACTTCCGAACGCACTTAGTAATCTCGGGAGCAACTTGCAACAAGTCAATTTACCCGAAATGTTAGCTCGGTGAGAGTGAGGGGGTCGGGGGAGGCAATTGTTGAGGATGGCGGAATTCCCAGACACTTATTCTGGCAAAATGTTCCCCTCCACCGTCCCCGGTTCGAAGTCTGAAACATGGTCAGCACCAGCTCCTTCGGAATTCGCTTAAATAACGCAGGAAAAACAATTCGGAAAGCCAAAACCTGAAACAAGAAATACTAATAAAACAGACCGTGCCGCGGAGAATGTTTGGGGGTGATTTCAGCAGAGCCTGGGAACTGGGTATACATACAAGGATCAGCAGATGGGGACTAGTGACTGACTCTGTGCTAAAACAAAAATACCTTCTTTTCCCCGGGGAAACAAATCTTACATGGGGATAAGATATCACCCCCGCCCCACCCCATCCCAACAGCAAAACAATGTCAAATTGTCCGCAAACAATGCACTTTCTACATTCCTCGTCTATTGTAGCTGCCCCATCCAACTCGGTTATAGCGTGTAACCAACATGAATTCCAGTCAATGTATTGCTTAAAAGCGCAGAATCTGAGCCATTTGGCCGATTATTTTGGTCCAGTCCCTCCGCTCAGTGCGTCACCTTCCGAGAAAGGTACTCGAGGGGCAACCGAACTATAAAAGGTCCTGCTCCATTCGGCAGCAACCAGTACACTCCCGGCCACTGGGATCAGGCTGAGCACTCGGACTGGTCCCGGACTGTAGCCCACACAATCTCTCTCACACACACACTGAAAATGAGCCTTGTCTTAAACACCAGTTTGGAGAGGCACGATGGTCTGAATGGGTTGCCAGTTGACCATCTGGCTGGATTTGGGATTAGGAATGTCACCCAGGAGCAGCCAGGAGCCGGGGACAGCGATCTAGATGTGAACACTGACATCTATTCCAAGGTGGTCGTCACTCTGCTGTACCTCGGCCTCTTCTTCCTTGGCTCACTGGGAAACTCGATCACTCTGCACACCCTGGTCAGGAAGAAGACTTTGCAGAACTTACAGAGCACCGTGCATTACCACCTGGCCAGCCTGGCTTTCTCGGACCTCCTCACCCTGTTCCTGTGCATGCCCATCGAACTCTACAACTTCATCTGGGTGCATCACCCCTGGGCGTTCGGAGATGCCGTCTGCCGGGGTTACTATTTCCTCCGGGACGCCTGTACCTACGCCACAGCGTTCAACATCGCCAGCCTGAGCATCGAGCGCTACTTGGCTATCTGTCACCCTTTCAAAGCCAAGACCTTGATGTCCACCAGTCGCACCAAGAAGCTCATCTCCATGATCTGGCTCCTGTCATTCCTGCTGGCCACCCCGATGACATTCACCATGGGTGAAAAATACGCGACCACCGTCCCTGATCCAAATGATTTGATCTGCACCACTATTGTGGACGAATCGACTGTCAAAACAGTCATCCAGGTGAGCAGCTGGCTGTATACACGCCTGCACTGGCCGTGAATATATCTCAGAGCAAACTAATTTAACTCATGCTCAAGATTGTCGCTAGGATGTTTCCCCTTTCTGTAATCTGGCACCGGCCTGTTGATTTGGCGTTGGTTTTCGAATTGTCTGTCTTTGATGTCTAGTGATTTCCTTAAAGACGGGTCTACCGAAAGCAGGAGTTATTTCCAGCTTTCCAAGTAGGACTGGGATCTCCCAACCGCAAGCAGTCCTGATGAAAGGTCACTCGACCTGAAACGTTAACTCACTCTCTGTACAAATGCTGCTTGACCGACTGAGTTTTACCAGAAGTTTTTTTTTAAAAATCAAAAGACCAGTATCTGCAGTATTTTGCTTCTGTATTCTCAATTTAGTATTGAAAAGTTGAATTGTATGTACTTTGAAATAGGTAATTTCAAAGAGAAAGGAATAGATTTTGGCGTTTAGCCATGATTTACCTTCATCCCTGACTGTGTTCTCTTTAAAATGAATCAGAATTTGCCTCCAAAGCTCAGTAACAGGAATAAGTCAGATCATCTTCTTAATAAAGTAATTATGTGCCTGTGAAAAGTATGCATCAGAATACAAGTCCTTTTATTTCTACAAAAGAATCTGTCACAAAGTGTATTCATAAATTATGCTATTTTGTAACGATTACTTCAAGATTTCTTTCGTCTATTCAAATCGAATGTTTAACTAACAGAACTTGCAGAATCAATCTCTCTTTAGGAATATAATCTGCACAGCTAATTATGAAGATTGGTGAGAAGCATGAGTATGAAAGGTTGCATGAATAACTGAACAGTATGCTCTATTATGCCTTTCTAGCATGTTGGTCTTTGATGTTTGTTGTTTCAATATGAAGTGGAATGAAGAGCAGGCAGATTCTATAAAGGGCAGTAACTTGATTAGGTTACTGCCCGTTTGAGGATGTAAAACAAAAACTACCACGAAGTGCAGTATGCCGGCAATAATATGAAATGGAAAAGTTAACAGCTTTGACAATATGGTTGAAAGTAGTTAGATAATTTTCATTGTCAAGGATTGCAATATCTGATGCAGAGAGATACATGAGCACTTTTGCAGTACACAGTTGCATTTTTTTTTCCTTTATTCATTCACAGGATGAGGGAGTCACTGGCTAGGCAACATTTATTGCTTATCCATAATTGCCCAGAAGGCAGTTAAGAATCAACCACGTTGCTGCGGGTCACGTGTAGTCCAGACCGGATCAGGATGGCAGTTTCCTTCCCCTAAAGGACATTAGTGAAACAGATGGGGTTTTCCGAAAATCAACAATGGATTCACGGTGATCATTAGATTCTTAATTCCAGACATTTATTGAATTCAAATTCCACCATCTGCCATGGTAGGATTTGAACCCAGGTCCCCAGAACGTTATCAGGTCGCTGGATTAACAGTCTAGTTACTGTTATATACTGTTAAAATACCACGAGGCCATCTCCTTCCCTGTGAACATCAAAATCTTATATTTAATTTTGTGTAGGACTTTGATTCTCTGGAATAAAGAAGGCAATTGCAATAGATGCTATACTTTCATTTAATGGATGCCAACCAAAATATAGTAGTTCCATTTAATGGGCATTTTTTAACATCTTTCTATCCAGCTGGGCGGCAGGGTGGCTCAGTGGATAGCACTGCTCTGCACAGCGCCAGGGACCTGGCTTCAATTCCATCCTCGGTTGACTGTGTGGAGTTTGCACATTCTCCCCATGTCTGCATGGGTTTCCTCTGGGTGCTCCAGTTTCCTCCCACAGTCCAAAGATGTGCAGACTAGGTGGATTGGCCATGCTAAATTGCCCATAGTGTTCAGGGATGTGTAGATTAAACGTGTTAGCCATGGGAAATGCAGAGGTCCAGGGAAAGGGTAGGGGAATGGGTCTGGGTGCGATGCTCTTCAGAGGGATAGTGTGGACTTGTTGGGCTGAAGGGTCTGTTTCCACACTGTATGGATTCTATGATGATGATATGAGTTGCTTGTACAGTGCACCTGAGTCAATGGCAAAGTAGATCATTTAGTAACTCCTCCTGTAATATTGCCAGCTCACTGCTTGTAGGGGATTGCATTTGGCTGGAGGGTGAGCAGGTCCTTGACATTCAACGCATGTATAGGTTGGCCATGGCATTTTGAGAAAACACATGATGTCACAATGGAGATAACTGAGATGTTTTGTTCATGATGTGTTGATGTACTTACCAAAATGTAGAAGGGATAAAAATGCTATGTCCATTGTTTGGGTGCTCTCAAGTTCTTTAAAGTGCCAAAATGACATTGGTAATGTGTGTGTACACTTCTGACACAAAGATTCCAGATGTCACTTTAATAAAGGAGGTAACACGTACACAGCCGACATCTACCAGAAAAATGCACAGAAGATAAATCATGACATTAGTCAGGGCACAATGCTGATTTGGCACCAGTGCTGCCATTTTCCAGACTGTGCTTTTAAAGTCCCATTCTGATGCATTCATTCAGCATTGTGAAACCTCCACCACACTAGCATTACCTAAACTGATCAGGGTTAGCTAAAGAGATTAACAAGCACTGACAGACATGCCAGTTGCTGGATTTTGGCTGTTGCTGCAATTCTGTGTACTTTGGACATATTTTGATACTTGTTAAAAGTTTAGGACGAGGTCTGGCTGGTGCTGAAGAACTCTTTTGAGGATATAGATATTGGTGTTTAAATACTTGTACACTAATCAGTTGCTTCAAAATATGGATGGTCTAGTAAGCTTTTCTCTTAAAGTTGTTCTTAGTTTCTAAAATACAAAGTTGGACATCAAATATCTTGTTAATGTAATCACAAAAATGCTGACACAGTTCTTGAGGGCAATATTATGAGAAACTATTGTATGTTATTGAAAAGAATTTGTTTATCCAAAGCCTTCCACAGTGTCACAGAGATCTGACATTTCAGCTAATGGAAGACCAAAGTCTGTGCATGTAATTGTGCATTACAAAGGCTTTTTGTCAACTAGTGTCTCGAACGAAGGTTTGGCCCAAGCCTTTCAACCTTGTGTAACAATGATTCCAATAACCTGTTCTCAACCAGTCTCCCGGACAACATCACCTTCTGTATAAAGAGAAACTACCTGATTTTAGCTGTACAGTTGGCCTTAGTGGTCTGCATTTTCTTTTCTCGTTGCTTCATTGATTCTAAAGGTATTGGTCTGCAGGTTTCTTGTCCTGTACATGAGGTACATATTAAATAGTTATCGTATCTCTTGAGTGTTTCCTGAAGCAAGAAAACTTCATTTTGTCTTGTTCCTTATAACTCATCTCTGTGCCACAGGGGATCAATCTTATTGCTCTTCTGCATACTACCTTTAAAGTCTATGCTCTTCTGATGCCATGGTAACCAGAACAGGACAAAACACATCAGGTATAGCTTCATACAGCCTCAGCATGACATTTAGGGACATTTAAACTTAGCAACTTGTACTTGACTAGACACTGTATATAAAAACTGTTTAAATGTTTTAATTCCTGAAGAATAAATAACTTTGCCATTATGAATTCCTTGAAACTTCCTCTCAGAGCAAGTATTTTGATAAAAAGAAAACAATTTGTTGATGTGACTTGCTTGATTGTATGGTGGTACTCGACCTAACGGCAAAAGTGGAGTAGCCTTGATAGTAAAAGATATGATTAGAACCTTGGTGTGAAAGGGGTTAACCTCAGAAGATCACAAAGTAGAATAGTATGAGATTAATTGGAAATAGCAAAAGCCAAAAAAAAAACCATTAGTAGGAATAATTTATGGCCCCCTTACAGAACTTATAATTCTGGGCTGAGTTTTAGTTTGGTGTATTAGTTGCTGCTAAGAAATGTTTGATCTCTATTGATTTTATTTTGTTAGTTACATTAAAAGTTTTAATGTGAAATCTTGTCATTTGGTTATTTTGATCTGTCATTGACAAATTCTTCCCATTTAAAAAATGTTGATCTCCACAGGGAATGTAACAGCTTTAATAACATTTAAGGTGGGTGTATTACAAGACTGTAATTCCAGAGGAAAGCTCATCTGATGTCAGAAACAATGATAGTACCACTTGCATCCAATCTACTTTATATAACACTCAGGTTCCTTTTGAATATAATCATTCTTTGTAGCAAAGTGTTTTATACTCATCTGTGGTTACTATGCTATACTGCATGTTGTAGCATCATTTCTGCAGAGTAAGCTCTTGTTTTTCAATATCATTGCAGGCAGACATTTGAAACTAAGATATCAAAAACAGCATGTATGCTGTAAATCTGAAATAGAACGCCAAAGCAGCCATGCAAAAACATTGCAAAGAATCATTTCCGTGTTTTATGCTGACTCTGGCTATGGTCTGATGAAGATGTGAGCTCTGTTGGAAAGCTCAGTGTGATGTGAGAAGTTAATTAACTGAATTTGATATACTTGTTCCATCCACCTGGACCTGCTGACCAATGCCCACCCAAGCAATTAACTTCGTACGAAATGACACTTCAGGGAAGTATTTTCTTTTCTCAATACAATTAATATGGGTTAATATCTAGAGCCAATTCTTCTGCAATTGCCTCAGTTAGTGGTAACAAAAAATTCTGAATTTCAGCTTCTGTTGGTGAGCTGCTTGACTGCCTTTTGTCACAATGTAGCTGGTGCTAATTTATCTCCAGTTTTGTACTTCACATTTACTGTTATCCCATAATGGATTAAAACTGAAACATTTTACTTAGCTGCCAAGTATATGGAGGAGTTTCATATCATTCAAAGGGAAAGATTTGAAATCCGATTCCTGTTGGTGAGCTTTGGTGGAATTTTGTAATGCTGACAATGCTCAAAGGAGTTTAGGATAGCTTTAAAATAACATGTAAGAAAAGAATCATGAGTAATACGTGAAGTTAATGTTCTTAAGGCCATTTTAAATAGTTGTTTTTCACATTTTTTACTATTATCTCCAGATCATTAACCTGCAATGTTAGG